TGACAAGGGCCTCCCCCAGCCTGCATACAACGGCCCCCCTGCCGCCCAACGCTGACAAACGGCCCGGCGCCAAGGTTCATGGCACCACCCGGCGGCGGGAGACAGGAGACCCGACACCGCCCCAACCTGACCACCGCTCCGCCACAAGCCCTGACAAATGCGGCGCCCGACCTGACAAACGCCACCCCCCTCAACCTGACAATGCCTCCCAGCCCTGACAAAATGTCCCCCCGACTACTGACAACGCCGCGCAGCCCTCGCCCCCAGAACGCTAGACAATGGTCTTATTGGCCCCACCGAACCTGACCAGACGCCCGCCTCCCAACCTGAACAGCGGCCCCCCACCTAACAGACGGTGTGTGTGTGTGTGTGTGTGTGTGTGTGTGTGTGTGTGTGTGTGTGTGTGTGTGTGTGTGTGTGTGTGTGTGTGTGTGTGTGTGCGTGAATGCGTGCGTGCGTGTGTGTGTTTGATTGGATTTGATGAGTATAGTTATATGTTGTAAATTGTAATTCCTGTTACAGTGGTACCTGTCCATAACCCTAGCTGAGTGTATCTATAAGTGAATGAGTTGATAAGGCTGCAGATGAACTGAGTTTCCGGCTGGAAGTAGAAATTTAAATAACTGACAACTAAACATTCGCAACCGACAATGTGCAGACGCTAGTTTTACACTGACCTGTGTGTGAATGCAGCTGCAAATGTAGTGTTTGCAGAAAACACGATCGAATAGAATAGTAAATGGCCATTAGGCTAACAAGATCGTTGTTAGCTGTGAAATGTTGCTAATTAATTATGTAATTATGTAATTAATTAATTACTAATGTATTAATCAATCTTACAATTGCGAATAGTTTGCATAGTTTCTGCTCATTTTGACTACATGCGACCGAATTGGGTGGAAAAAAAAACTTGCATGCACTCAGGCTCAGCGACTGTTTCACGTCGTGGGAGAGATGCGAGGGAACAGTGCTCTGCCCCCAGCATAACCGCACGCATAGACGTCATGCAGCCATCCTCGCGCGACAGCGCGGAAAACGCGGCGTAGCGGCCGCCAATACAAATAACCTGCACTATCCTGAACACTTTCTCGAGGCCCTTTAGGGTATAGGGAAAACGGCTGGGAAATCGTCCAGCAAGAGTTCTGTTCGTAGCACGACGGTTTTGACTACCCACGTAGCGCGAGATTTGCTGCAAATGAGCCAGAAAGTAGTTTGGCCTAATGGCCGCGCGTCCTATAGCCGTCAAAAACGGAGTTTAAACGTTTTCCGTCGAGACACGTTCACGGCAACTGCCAACTGTGACCTGTCACAACACAATTTCATCTCTGTTATTGTTTACGCCTGAATGTGTGATTGATCAGCGAGGGGGTGCATGTAAAAGGGAGACATTTTCTTTGGGGTTCCGAAAAACACAATTCCACTTGACAATTTCATGGGCCATTTGAATTGGAAGCTCTGCATAATGGACCCCCAACAAGCCCTTTGACTGACTAGTCAAGAAATTCAAAGGTCTGTATATTGCTCTTATTTAGCCGTCGATTGTTCTTTTTAGAACAAAGTCTTCATTGTTATCTTCTAAAACTACAGACTATCCGCTGACTGCTGTGGAGACGTGCGCCGGGCCTCGAGTTTGGCGCACGTCTCCACTCTCCACTACGGACAGCGCTTCATACTTGAACATCCCCGCTGTCGCGTGCGCATATCCCGCGGAACTGCGCGTCTCATCCGCGTGCAGCGCTCGGGATCAACAGCAAAGCTGTGCCACGCAATCCTGTATCATGTCTCTCTGGATGTAAAATCTAATGAATCTGTTAAGCTTAGCACAGATGAATGAGTTAATCGGCCTTGAATTAATTAAGTTAATTAGCCAATCGTGCGCAGTAGTACTTTAGGCAGACCGATATTAACCGCATTGTTCTAGATCACGCTTTAAGGTGCTTTAATTGCTTCAGGATAAACCAGTATTGAGATTTCTACTGCGTAACAATATTTCAGAGTAGTATCAATGCATATTGTTAGCGTTGTGGTGCTTGTTTTTGGAACTATATTCAGTTGACACAATGAAGATATAGTTACAGAAATGCACACTGTAAGGCATTTACATTTTTTGTGAAATGTTATTCGTTTAAAAAAATTTACAGTGGTTTATTTAGTGACAAGTAATAAGTATTTTATGTTCGCTGATGTAACGGATTATAGAATTCTTTATACCCCACCTTTTTAAAATAACTTCTATTGCTTAATTGTTGGAACCATAAAGGTAAATATATATTAGTCCCACGACAATGCATAGAGGTATTTGATATGACGTCAAAATAATAAGACGCACAAATAATTAGTAACCCACTGTGCAGACTTTGAAAGCAGTAGCAGGGATTAAAGGCAATCAAAAGCGATGAACGCTGGTGTCTTTGTCTGCCTACGTGCGCAGCGCTTTACGAACAATCACACACCTCACAGGTCGACGCATCATATTCACAATGATGTCGGAGGATGTACGCATCGCATGAACGGCGAAGCACACCCTTGCTTTCGCTATCGGCCGGGGAGCGAAAAATTTTTTCCCACTTAAGTTCCGGACCCACCATAGATAGTGTTTTGCAATATATAGTTCATATATATATATGGTTGGATTATAGTTAGTATTAGGGTTCGGGTACGGGTTAGGGTTAGGGTTAGGGTTAGGGGGTATTCACTTTACATTGTTGCTACGAGGATGTCGAGTGAATGGAGTGCACTGATTGGCTGTGGTCCGGAACTTAAGTGGGGGAAAAAATTTCGTGGCCGGGGATGTGCGCACGTACGTGCGATACAATGGCTGCGTGGTTGTGCGCACCGGAGGCAGATGTGCTTGCGGCGAATTGTCGCCTGGTCATTCTCACGGTCGTCTCTCCCCCCGTTGTCGTTGCAGGATGTCGCGAGGCGCCGAGCGGCGCTCCTAGAGGGCGCTGACGACGCGATGGGCGGCAGGGATGGTCTCGCCTCGAGCCGCACGCCGGTGATATCGACGCCGTCACAGCAACGCAAGCGCCACCTGCCGCGACTCTCGCTGCGTCGGCTCTTCCACGGCCACCGCGGCAAGAAGGGTCCCTCGCGTCACCATGGCGACGGCGGCGGCGGGGCGGACACGCTGGACTCTCGATCGGACACGGCGATGCTGCCGCCGCCGGCGCGCGCCGTTGCCGCGACGACGCCCGCCTCGCACGCCGTCGCCACGACGACGACGAAGCAGGCGAGCCTTGCCGAACCGGAGGACCTCGATAGCGTGGGCGGCGAGGAGGAGGAGGAGGTGGAGGAGGAGGAAGAGGAGAGGGAGAGGGCGGAAGACGATGGGAGCCTGCTGGAGTGCCCGCTGTGTTTCGTGGAGCAGCCGAGGCCGCATTTCCCGGACATCGGGACGTGTGAGCATCGGTCGTGTCGCTCCTGCCTCCAGCAGTACCTGCACATAGGTAGGTGTTACTTCTTCTACTTCTTCTTCTTCTTCTTCTTCATCTTCTTCTTCTTTTTATTCTTCCTCTTCTTCTTGAGTCACGATGCTACACTCGTCCTAACCACTGCAGCACTCAGGGCCGGGTGATGAAAGCCTCAAGGTCTCCAGACGTTGACACAATATTACAAATATTGTCATACTTTCAGTATTAATATTTAGCAGGTGAACCAACTTGTTTTCGATTTCTCCCATGCAGAAAATATAGCGTAATAAACTTAGTAAAAACCAGCTGCACCTATTTATCAATCAATATACAATTATTGATAACAGCAGCATTGCAACACCTAGCGGCTTTACCAGGTAAAAATTGTTATTAGTCTTTCGCTTAAGTGAAAAGTGCAATCATTCAAACTCCTAAGTCACCAGCTGCAGCAATGGATTTATCGTCATTAGACGAAACTCCTTGTGCCATTTACCTACCACAGTACCCACTTTGGTGTCACGAGTACTTGCACACACCGGTCGATTCTCACCTACATCTCGACCTACATCTAACCTTGTCTGACTCCCTACCTACATCTATCCTTGTCTGACTCTCTACCTACATCTAACCTTGTCTGACTCTCTACCTACATCTAACCTTGTCTGACTCTCTACCTACATCTATCCTTGTCTGACTCTCTACCTGCATCTAACCTGGTCTGACTCTATACCTACATCTAACCTTACCTGACTCCGGTAGAGCGTCAGACAAGGTTAGATGTAGGTAGAGAGTCAGGCAAGGTTAGATGTAGGTAGAGAGTCAGACAAGGTTAGATGTAGGTAGAGAGTCAGAAAGGTTAGATGTAAGGTAGGGAGTCAGACACATCTAACCTTGTCTGACTCTCTACCTACATCTAACCTTGCTGACTCTCTACCTACATCNGGACGACGAGAGGGAGGAGAAGGACGAGATGAAAGGAGAAACATGAAAAGATTGGGGCAGTGAGGAGAGAGAAGAGATTGCGGGGAGTCATGAGAGAGAGATGTGAGAGAGAGGAGAGAGGAGAGAGAGGAGAGAGGGAAGAGAGAGAGAGACGCATGAGAGATGGATGAGAGCATAGAGAGAGAGATGAGAGAAGGGAGAGAGATGATAGAGAATTAGATGGAGAGAGAGAGAGAGATACACGAAATAGAGACTAGATTGGAGGACCGAGGAAGAGAAGCAGATGAGAGAGAGGAAAGAGGAGAGAAAGAGAGAGAGAGAGAGGATTGAGCAGAGAGAGAGAGAGAGAGAGAGAGAGAGAGAGGACCGAGACGAGGAGAGATGAGAAGAGAGAGAGGACGAGACAGGAGAGACAGGGAGACGAGAGCGAGGACGAGAGCAGAGAGACGGAGAGAGACGGAGAGAGAAGACGAGAGAGAGAGAGAGAGAGAGGGGAGAGAGAGAGAGAGAGAGAGAGAGCGAGAAGAGAGCCGTCTCTGAGCACTGAGCGTTTGAGCGTCGAGAGAGGAGAGAGAGAGTGTGTTGTGAGAGAGAGAGCAGGGCCGTTAACCACACTATACTCCTGGCAGCCGTGAAGGCGAGATCAAGCATGCCCACGGCTGCATGTCCCTCATCACCAAGATGGACAGACGGTCGTGCATCACATGACCTGCTCTGGTCTGCAGCCAACCGAGTTCTGTTGCTCGTGCCCATGAATGAGATCTCGACCTTCATTACCTCAGGTTCGTGCACCAAGGTCAATGTTCTCCCGGTTGGGAATTAGATGTAAGGTAGGGAGTCGCGAAGACTTGATGTAGGGAGAGAGTCAGAACAAGGTTAGATGTAAGGTAATGAGAGTCAGGCAAGGCATAGATGTAGGCACGGTCAGAGAGTCCATGTCAAGGTTTAGATGGCGGTAGAGAGCAGGCAAGTGTCTAGTGTAGGGTAGAAGAGGTCAGACTAGGTAGACATGTAGCCGGTAGATTAGGTCAGACAAGGTTAGAATTAGGGTAGGAGGTCAGGCCAAGGATAGATGTAGGGTAGGGATCGCAGTCAGGCAAGGATAGATGTAAGGTAGAGAGTCAGCAAGATAGATGTAGGTATGAGTGTCAGCAAGGATAGATCGTAGGTCTAGAGAGTTAGGCACAGGATAGACTGCGAGGTAGGATCGGTAGGCAACGGACTAGCATGTAGGTGAGCCGTCAGACAAGGTTAGATGTAGGTAGAGAGTCGACGCAAGGTTAGATGTTACGGTAGAGAGTTCAAGCAAGGTAGATGTAAGGATAGAGCGTCAGAACAAGAGATAGATGTAGGTAGAGAAGCCTGCCAGACAAGGTTGGATGCTACAGGTAGAGAGTTCAGAGCAAGGTCAGATGTACGGTAGAGCAGTCCAGACAAGGTTAGCATTAGGCTATGAGAGTCAGCAGAGGTTAGATGTAGGTAGAGAAGTCAGTCAAGCGTTACGATGTAGGTAGAGAGTCAGGCCAGGTTTAGATGTAGGTTAAGTGAGAGCTTCAGCGCCGAAGTTAGACTGGTAGGCCTTAGAGGAGTCAGGCAAGGTTAGATGTAGTAGAGGAGTCAGTCAAGGTTAGAGGTTAGGTAGAGAGTCAGGCAAGGTTAGCTGTATGGTAGAGACGTCAGTCAAGGTTAGATGATAGGTGGGAGTCAGAGCAGGTGTAGCATGTAGATAGAGAGTCAGACAAGGATAAGATGTAAGGTAGAGTCAGGCAAGCGTCTAGATGTAGCGTGAGAGTCAGGGCACAAGCTTATAGATGTAGGTAGCGAGATTCAGCAAGGTTAGATGTATGGTAGAGTCAGACCAGTTAGATGTAGTAGAGAGTCAGAACAACGGTTTAGATGTAAGGGGTAGAGGAAGTCACGTCGAGGATAGATATAGGTGAGAATCGACCGGTGTGTGCTGCAGCTGGTGACATCACAGCGGGTACCATGGTAGGTGATGGGTAAAGGCGGTGGTAGTTTCTTTTGATCCCAAAGTGTGCGGGTAACATCCGCTTTCAGGTATCTATCCATCGAGGGAAGTATTCTCTGAGTGCGTTGTTGAAACAGGTTCCAGGGCTCAGTAAAGCTGCCCAAACGTAGGCTCAGACATTTCATCTAATCAGCATTTATAGAAGAGCCACCAACCATTCGATTTCGGCAGAATTTGTACGATTTCAGCCTATAATTCCACCCATTACGATTCACTCACGTTCTCACATACATGCCGGTATCTTTGTGTTTGTTGTTACACTACGATGAGTATGCACATGATTGTATTTTATTTGCTAATCGATTATTATATTGCTTAAATTATGTAGTATTGTGCTTAAAAATGACTCGTTACCAAAGATTCGAAGTTAGAAGTTATAGGGTGTAGTAAGCTATAGGGTGTAGCGCGTGTGATTGCGATGCACGCGGAGTGATCGGCACGTGTTTTACCTTCGCAGTCCGTCGGGATGCACGTTCTGGGCGGTAAAGGAAAGCCGTTGGCAGCAGGGAAAGAGAAGAATCTATCTGCGAGCTGGACCGATCGTCGGCGCTCCCCGTCGGCATCGCCGCTTATCGGCGAGGCGTACTCCGTGCCCGCCCATCATCATCGGCGTGCCGTGTCTGGTTCGCGACAAAAGGTGTCTGCTGCCAACATCGTGATGTACTATATGAAGCAGAGGATAGAACGGCTGAGGTATCTTATAGAAGCTGGGTATGGACGGTGATGTATTATAGAGCTAGACGGCAGACGAGGTAACGTGTGGATGGAAGGTGTATGTCTATAATAAGTGGGGATGTAAAGGTGTGTCACTATAAAAGCTAGGCGATGGAAAGGTTGATGCTTACTATAGAAGCTAGGGAAGATGAGTCAAGTGGGATGGAAGGTGATGTACTATTAGAAGCTAGGGGAAGAGAGGCAAGTGAGATGGACGGTGATGCGACTATAGAAGCTGGAAGGTGATGTACTATAGAAGCCTAGCGGATGAACGGTGCATGTACTATGATAGAAGCTAGGGCAGGAAGGTGAATTACTATAGAAGGCCTGGGGATGGAAGGTGATCGATACTATCAAGAAGCTAGGACTGGAACGGTGATTACTATAGAAGCGGGATGGAAGGTGATGTACTTATAGCAAGCTAGGGATGGAGTGTGATGTTTTTTTTTTTTTTGTCTACTATAGAAAGCTAGGGATGGACACGGCGTTGATGTACTATAGAAGCTAGGGAAGAGAGGCAAGTGCAGATGGAAGGTAACTGTACCTATAGAAGCCTGGCGGAAACGAGACGGCAAAGTGAGGATCGACCGGTGACGGCTACTATAGAAGCTGCGGTCAACTTGATGTATATGAAGCATAGGGATGGAAGGTGATGTTACTATTAGAAGCTAGGGATGGAGAGGTGATGTACTATAGAGCCGTGGGGATGGAAGGTTGGATGTACTATTAGCAAGCTAGGCGATGTGACTCGTGATGTACTATAGAAGCTAGGGATGGAAGGTGATGTACTATAGAAGCTAGGGAAGAGGGGCAAGTGAGGATGGAAGGTGATGTACTATAGAAGCTAGGGAAGAGGGGCAAGTGAGGATGGAAGGTGATGTACTATAGAAGCTAGGGAAGAGGGCAAGTGAGGATGGAAGGTGATGTGTACTATATGAAGCTAGTGGAAGAGGCAAGTGAGGATGGAAGGATGAGATGTTAACTATAGAAGCTAAGGGCAAGACGGGGCAAGTTGAGGATGGAAGGCTGATGTATATTAGACAGCTACGGCGAAGAGGCGCAAGATAGAGGACGGAAGGTGAATGTACTATAGAAGCTGGACGCGAATGCGCGGTGGTGTACTCTAATACGAACGGTAGGGATGGAAGGTGATGTACTATAGAAGCTAGGGATGGAAGGTGATGTACTATAGAAGCTAGGGATGGAAGGTGATGTACTATAGAAGCTAGGGATGGAAGGTGATGTACTATAGAAGCTAGGGAAGAGGGGCAAGTGAGGATGGAAGGAAAAGAGAAGGACGGTGAGCACGAAAACAAGATAGGGGAGAAGTGGTTGTAATGTAAGCTAAGTAGAGAAATCTTGTGTATACTTTCTCCTGAGCAAGCAAGAAGGTAAGCCGAATAAAGTAAGTTATGGTAAGGTAGGATAACGAGAAAGCTGTGCACGATTGGAAAGCGTCCACCTAAACATTCGACAAAAAAACTTCAGTTCGCTGCATTGCTACAAACGCAGGCAGTAATCGAGTGCATTTGACTCGCAGATTTATGCCAAGTTCCAGCACGTGTCTAAGCATCGCAGGAACATTTACATAACGAGCGGCGTGACAGCTTCAGTGCTCATCTCACCGATGCTAGCAGGCCTTGCTGTCGGTGAGTATACTGTATACGCCATATTTTTCGCGTACAGATATTTTCGCGAATTCAGACTTGACGCACAATTTCGCGAGTGGTTAATTTCGCGGTCGGTCAATTATTAATTATTCGGTGTTAGTCGGTATGAGTTATTCGCGTGTTGTTATTTTCGCGGTCGGGGACGCGTTCGCGAAATTCGCGAAAATTAAAACACACTTGCATCGCGGGTATACAGCTCAGTATGGTATAGCGTGGCGGTCCTTATGAGTGAAAAATTGGTGACGTAATTGATTGTGCGTGCGTTCATTTATGATATGTGTTGTGTAGTGATGTAAATATTGCAGTGTCACGGGTAAACAGTAACATGTAACGATATGTGCATTGCTACCATCATTATAGTACATACGTGCATATGTTAATATAGTACACGCATATATATATATATATATATATATATATATATATATATATATATATATATATATATATATTACGATCAGTATAATATCAAGAGCTAATAATAGCTAAGGTATATTTAATCAATAATAAAGTATTATTAGCTATTGATAATATATGGTTTTTGTGTTTATGTTTCTCTCGCTTGCAGGAATTGGTGTTCCTATATTACTAGCCTACGTGTACGGCGTGGTGCCTTTCTCACTGTGCCGATCACGAGGCTGTGGACCAACCACGTCGCTTGAAGAGGGAACTTGCATAGAATTTGATGATGATAACGAAGGCACGATAGGAACATTCGTTTTGAGCGGTAATGTCACCACGTTGCTTTGCCGTATAATTGAGCCATAATTTTTTTTTTAAGAATTTCGTCACCGCTCTTTGTCGTTATGTCTTTAGAATTAGTGAGGAAGTAACCTGAACGACAACAACAACATAATAATGTTCGATGTATTTGTTTACGTACTGCAATGGATGACGAGTGATTCTTTGGCGGTTACGTTGCAGAGAACTCCAGTGTTCTCCCCCACAGCGTGACCAACCCTAGCATCGGGGAAATGTCCGTGATGACGTGCACATCGGCCAGCAGCGGTCACCTTGACCGGTTCAGCAGAAAGGGTGAAGTGGAGCGAGACAGTGCTAGCAATATGGCCTTAGCGGCAGAGAATGCCTCAGTCTGTTTACCCGGAAGCACGTTTACTGCACACGGACCTAACGACAACTTTCTAAACAAGTAAGCGGTGGTCTGTGTGACATTAAATGCTGCTCATGTGAGTCCTCTCTATTCCTACGCTTCCCATTCCTCAGAATATTACTTTGTTGTGCACGAATTGCTTTGCTATGCGTAATGTAAGTGCTGTGAAGAGTAATACGATATTATTTGTTCACATAGGTTAGAAGTTCAGGCAGAAGTGCTGCCGCCTGGTGTTAGGAGTGGCGTAAATGGTGGAGAGTCAGCATCGGCAGGCTCGAATGTTCATAAGGTGCCAGCATCGTGCCACTATGTGATGAGGTGAGTCACACGTAAGCACAGCCAGACATCCAACTTCTACTCCTACCGTAGCTCTGCAATGTGTCGTGTACGTCAATGGTTTTTAACTTTTCCTAGTTAGCATCACCTTTCTGATGTTTATCAAACCCTCATGATCAAGCCGTCTCCCATTTTTTTTCAAATAACATTTAACTCTAGATTCCATTTCTTTCTAGAAGTTTTGATGGCATATGCCATTTCTAAATCCAGAATTTTTTAGTCATCACCTAGTCATTGTTGTTTCAGTTTGTGTTTATTTTCTGTTTTAGTCATCGATGTTTCCCTCATGGTGATGCATACTTCCTGTCGTTCCCACATGCTTACGCAACCCCAAGCTTGGCCCTTATCTTCATCTTAATGCTCCTGGCCTGTTTCAGCCTCCATATCCAACTACTGTTCGTACGCAGCCGCACAACTGTGTCCTGTCGTGGTTCTATACATCACCAAGAGCACTCGACACCAGATTGTTTACAGTCCATGTAGCCACATAGATGTTTCTCACAGTTTTGCTATTATAGATAGTATAGTATATAGTATATAGTAGTATTTCTACCGGATAGTAGATTGCAGCATTACCTTTGCAGTCCGGAGGGAAAGTTAAGGGTTGGTGCGGCATATTTCAACGTACATTAGCAATTAAATAAGTAGGAAGGTATAGCGCACTCATGCGCAGACATCTTCCCGCAGGTTCGACAAGGATTGCGGCGGTAAGAGCGGCTGCGTCGCCATGGAAATGAGCGTCCCGATCGAGGTCATGCCGGCCGCCGACACCGTGGGGAGCCACCATCGCCGCGCCGGCTCGCCCGCGTCCGTCTACTCGACGCGCTCCTACGAGCTGTGCGAGCGACGCAGGCCGCCCACCACCAGCGTGAGCGTCGGGGAGTGCATGTCGAGCCACGCGGACGACGACAACGACGACAACGACGACGGCGGCGGCGGGACGCGGCGGCGCCTGCGAGCGAGCCGGAGCGACACGGACGGGACGTGGCGCGCCGTCGCCGACGGCAACCACCTGTCGCGCTGGTCGCTCCAGCACGGCCGCCGCGCCGGTGGCGCCCCCTCGCGGGCCGATGCGGAGAAGCCGCTTGGCGAGGGGGGAGGGACTCCCGCTGCCAGGAGGGCGGCGGCGGTGGCGGCGGTTGCTAAGCGACAGAGCAGTCACGGCAGCAGGGAGCGGAACCTCGGAAGGGCGCTTGCGAAACAGCAGGGCTCAAAGCAGAAGAAGTCGTAGGGGAGATTTTTTTTACGTCGCGCGCGCGCGGGCGGACGGGCGGGGAGCGTCGCCGAGATAGCTGTGATCAGACGAAGAGCTTATTGATTGCATGAGTGAGAGTCGCGCTCACGGCAACAAAGAAACACGTGAGACAGATAAGAGGGTGAAACCCAGTGATAAACGTCATTTCTGATGATGATATCTCCTGTGCCACATATAGACATAGCTGTATATTTTTTTCTAGTCGTTTTTTTGTGTATTTTCCAGTTCAGTATTAGCTGTGCAGATAGAGGCGGCCGCAAATGATGGATTCACAGTTTGTTTCGATGTGAAGTAAATTCTGTTCATCGATTTATGAACGTGTCAAATATTTCGGCTATTATTTGTGTGGGTAGTAATTCCGGATGCTTGAAGGAAGTTCGGCGTTTTGTTTCATTGACAGAAATTGTAGCCGCGTTATTCTTTAGAGGTTTGTACTAATGTAGAGTGCAATCGTGCACGTTCACGGTACGAGACTGGTGCAAACAAGCAGATTTTGTGTTCTCTATCGACATTAACTACGTACGTACTAGGGGGGGTATAATAACAGATAATCTACACTGAATTTTTCCCATTTCCAAGAATATTACATTGCTGTGCTTCTGCGTAGGGGTTATATAACTGGTTTATATCGATGCTCTTAATTGCTACTGTCGTATCGTTTGGTTTGTTGTAATTCTGCCTGCATGTCGTTTTTGGATGTGGGAATAAAACAAAACACCTCCCATGTGAGTACTCACATCTGCCTGCTCCTCCCCACCTTCTATACTAACCATGGTTAAGCTTTGTTGGGTGCACCGTATTTTGCAAGTGCCAATAGAGGTTTGTATACAAGAGTAGAATGAACGCTCTTCTGTGTCATAATCTTACGTCTCGTAAAAACATTCCAGTGTACGGTAATTTCTTCTTTTTGTGTCCATCAATAAACTGGACATTCTTAGAAACACAGTCTTTCTGGTTATATCTCGTTGGCTACATACTCGTATGTAGTATTTCTCAAATGACCATCTATGATTAGATTGTACAAATACTAGATAGCATTTAGTATGCATATTTACAGGAGCTTATAAAAGGAATTCCTTTTATAAGGAATTCATAAAAGAATTCCTATTATAATGAATTCCTATTATAAGGAATAGATAAAAGGAATTCCTTTTATATGCTCCTGAATCCTGATAGTGATATTTATATATAGCCAAACCAATGATTACATGGCAAATGACATTAGAGGCCTTGTGAGGACAACCCTTATCAATTTCTTTCAGCAAATGTTCAGTATACGTAACCATATGATACAATAGAGAGAATATTTTAGAATGTCTACCACAAGGTCCTGCTATAAAAACCATAAGGAGCCAGTACAGAATAAGCATGGCAGGTTAATGCTGGACTACCTATCTACTGTACCCCCCCCCCTCCTGTCTCTGTGTGTGTCTCTGTGTCTGTGTAGCTTCTTCACCCAATTCTTAACATTACCTTGATGTAATCCTATCCCTAATCGCAACCTAGCATTAAGCCCATCGTCAAAATCGGGGGAGATGCTTTGTCAGAAACATCATAGCTCTGCTATTAATATTCAAGACAGTCTTCTATTATGTACATTCAACACCGATTTTAATTAATTGTGAGATTAAAATATGCACATACTTATAATAAAATAATACTTGTAATGTGATAATGTCAGTAAAGTAAACATTGCACACAAAATAGGACTAAAACAAAATATAAGTGAGGGAGACGAAATATAATACAAAAAATTTGATTACAAAAAGTTCAATTTCAAATTCAAATTCAAAATGCAGTCTGTCTATACAAATGATAATCTCTCTTTAAACCAAGATATCACGCAAGTGAGAAATAGGCACACTGGTTCATGCACGGGCAAAACAACTCGTACATGACTTTCTCAAAACCGGCAAAGGAGAAATTGAACACGTTACAGTAGCGCATCGCACAATTGGGCAATAAGAAACATTTACAAACGTTATTCGCGTGCCTCGTGGAATATAGGGTTGTGCTCATTCAGTAGTGTTTTTGGCATCACCAAATTAGACTACCCAGGGCACCACATCACACGGCAAGGCATCAGTCCCCTGGAACAATTGCAGCGATCTTCGAATTTAAATCGCCTACAATTCAATTGGGGTTATGTGAATTCTTTGGCATGCTTAACATTTTACCATCCTTTCATGAAAGGCATTCTATAACCATACACGTTTCACTACTAATCTATCATGCCATATTTGATATACAGCATGTACTGTGATGTACACCCTAGCAGTGGTGCAAACAGAATCGTGTTTTACAGCAAGTTAACTGTGGCCAGCCAAAAATACATATGTAAGATGCTATGCAAGTGCGTGCATGACTTGCAATTACAGAAAAACTGCATAAATACACTGCCAGGTCACTCTCGATATGTTCACAATACCAGACATGCGAGTCAACAATGTACAGATTGACATCATGGGTGAAACAAGACCTCGACTTTACATTTCCATATCCTCCGGACAGCAGTCTTCTCACAGCTTCCCAAGCCGTAGAGAGTGATGTGTCGCCTAACCAATCGGTCCCCAGTTCTGCAGCACAGAGGTAGGAAGGTGCAAAATTTTGCAGGATATTTTTTTACAATTGCTATTGAAACAAAATCCTAGGTGCAATAGCAAAATGAAAACATTTATTTACTTTATTCATTCTTTCTTCTTCAACATTACAGCGTGTGGACAACGTGCACTGAAATTGGTCATTGGAATATATGATTTTTTAGCTCATCTGACGTAGTCAGATGCAGCTTGTAGAATCGCATGATCGTCCGTGCGTGCGTGCGTCAACAGTTGGGCACAAATCTTAACCGCTCGAAGTACGGTCACGATATTCGGCACATCGGGGGGGATCGTTAAAACGAGTTGGGATGTCGAAGCTGGGGGTCAAAGGTCAAAGGTCAAGCGGTGTAAAAGAAGTGGGAACATTCACTCCTTAACTTAAGGTATAGGAAGGAAATGCAGAATTGCGGCACAAATCTAAACGGCTCGACCTAGGCTCGTGATAGTTGGTGTATAGCATCATGGTAGGAAAAGCCATCACTGTGCCGAAATTGGAGGTCACAGGTCAAAGGTCAATGGGGCACAGGGCAGAATTTAGACATTTTCTGAGGACATGGTCTGACGGAGCGATTGAAAAACTTTTTTGTTTCAGCGGTGACCTAGCATTTTTATGGCTTTATTGAAAGGACCATGAAATGTACTTTCCGCTGACATGCGAAGAGTAAGTGTCGGATAACATTTTGACCCTCAAGAGGAGGGTTAAACATGGATTTGTTTCTCAACTGCGTTGGCGAGTACCTGTGGGTGTGGAAAGCTCTCATTTTACAGTGAAATTCCACACATAACTCTTACTTGAACAACGCTTACTTAGGAGATAATGACATGACTTATATATAAGATTCTGTAGTGTACATTATGAATAGTTGGAATACAGTCACTAGCACTCAAATAATTACCCAGGAGTGAGGCTGCGGATTTCCCAGACTTAATTTTTTCATCAAATTTTGGCACCAATATAGACGCAAGTGTGTACGTTCTTGAGCTTATTCGGTCCACTAATCACTGGCCTACCTTGTACTGAAATTAGTTTAGAGATATTTGCTATCATATTGCTGTAAATTGTAATCTTGCACGAGCTGCTCTGCCTCTGGTTGTATCAACCATTGAGCTATTTTTAACGAGCCAGATGTGCCTCGCAAGGGGTTTAATGTACCTTATTACCTGACACCATAGAACGCACGTTATGTATAGTAATAATATGGTAATTATTCGCTCCTGCTTTTTGCAATCCGTCGTCACACCGACAGCTGCCACACGCAGAGCGACAGAGGTGGAATGTGCAGGGAAATCCCCTGTGGGTGCACATCTTTGGAATGTGCAGGGAAATCCTGTAGATAAGGAAATTCTGTCTACAAGTTGGCATTAATTATTTTACTTTCTCTAATTGATAATGCCTTTCTAACATATTCTAGTGCTGGTTGTAGTATTTTCGGGTCATCACTTTTCCAATCATCTACTCGTTCCCCTTTATTATACCCTCCATATACCTTACATGAATATAAATGTTCCAAATTTTCTTTTTTCCTTTCATCACACAAATCACATATATCTGTTATCATTACTGTAGTTATTTTTAAAATAACTTTTTAAGTTCATCATGCAAGTCTTACACCTAAACACAAAGCATGCATCATCAAACGACAATTTTGTCATGTATGGCTTTAATACAGCTCATAGGGTCTATATGTCTCCCAGGGTACTGCCGGAACGTACCCTGGGTACAGTCCGGTATACCGGAACGTACCCTGGCCACTATTTGATATGGTTAGGATTCAGATTAGTGTTAGGGTTAGGGTTAGGGTTAGGGAGTAGGCGTAGGCGACTCGCTAGACTCATTAGTGGAGTAGGCGAGGTACGGTCCGGCATATTAGATAGTACCAGGGTACGTTCCGGTATATACCGGACCGTACCCAGAGTACGTTCCGGTACACCGGACCGTACCAAGGGTACGTTCCGGCAGTACCCTGGGGGACATAGACCCTCTCAGCTTTAATACATAGCTTTCGATATTTACCATTTTCATTTTTGTTTTCTCACCAGACCTCATGGTATCTCTCATAATTACTGTTTTTAAAATAGCCTCCTTCACATATTTTTTCCATTCTTTCTTATGTTGTGAACCGATAGTACTTATGTCATACTCCTTCAAGATTTCTAGAGGCTCATTTGCCCAATTACTTCCAATGTCTTTAGTTTGTTCTAAAAATACTCTTTTCATTAATCTGTCATTTTCTAACTTAATAATGTATTGCAATAACATTAACTTTTTATAACATATTCTATCTTTTATTGGTATTATTCCACTTTCTATTCTTATAGTGCCTCTAGTGGTGTCTTGCTGTGCGCTTCGAGTATCTCCTTCTTAAACATTCATTTTGGAAATCCTCTACCATCTTTTTCTCTTCCTTAGTCAGATTAGTCAAAATTTCGCTATTATTTAGTAGTGACGGCACTACAGTGCATTCATAAAGTTTAACATGTGCTTTCATTGCAGTTTCCAAAATTTTGTCCATTAGCCATAGATATAACTTCACTCATCATAAATCGACCTTTATCTGTTCTTTGTTTTATCATTTCTTTATATCCTCCTCTTATATCTCGCCTAAGTATGTATATTTACTACATCTTTTTATTATTTGATCTCCGAGAAGAATCTGTTTTTCTTTGCTATTTGGGCCTCCAAATTTTATTTCCAATATATTTGTCTTCTTCATATTAAATTATAGCAATTTTTCTTCAGCCAGCCTAGTACATGCTTGAGCCATTTCTGTCATGGTCTCCCATTTTCCAATTCCCAGGATATCATCCATATACAAAAGAGGCGTGATTTCTATCGAGTTTCCATACATATACTGATATAGACCGGTGTACCGTAGCTCTAGTACTATAGCCGCTTACATTAACTGCCGCTGGGCTATAGACCGACCCATGGGGCATGCAATGGACCAACTTATCCCCAGTGTATCCGGCTAAAAAAACGTCTGTGGTAGGCAATTAATGCCTCTTATCCGAAGTGAATATGTATTAAGTTATAGCCGCTACTAAATTGAACCTCTAACTATCGTTGCAATGGTATACTTGCGGTATTTCTTGTGAACAAACATTCGATTTGCGAACTTCAAACGGCCATTTCTGGCGGCGCTGCAGCAGCGCCAGTCAGCGGGAAATAGTATTTCCGCATGTTGAGGGTGGCGGGTTGGGGTGGTTGTGGAAAAAAACATTGTTGTTGTCAAGTAACAAATTAAGCGATCAAAAGAGATTGTAATATTAGTTTTGTCATGAAAGATGAACAAATTACTATTATTAATTTGTTACTTGACAACAACAATGTTTTTGTCCACACCAACACAACCCGCCCACCCCTCCACATGCGGAAATACATAGTTCCCCCTGACTGGCTGGAGTCAGTTGGTCCATTGCATGCCCCATGGGTCGGTCTATAGCCCAGCGGCAGTTAATGTAAGCGGCTATAGTACTAGAGCTAGGTGTACCGGTACCATAATTATGTACTTGGTATTAAAACCAATGTCATTTACATCAATATAAATATAATATTATATCAATATAATAGGTTAGGGTTATGGTTAGGGTTAGGGTTAGGGTTAGAATTAGGGTTAGGGTTAGGGTTAGGTACATTGGTTTTATTGGGACCCATGTTCTCTATCCTTGGGCCGCCGTGGGACCCTGGCTACAGGCTACATATGTGTTTTAACTGCTATCGTGGCTTTTTCATTCATTTTGTATATTATTTCCCAACAAGGTCCTTTTAATCGTTTAAACCACAGGTCAATCATACAAAACTTTAGCCATAATTTATCAAAACATTTTTGAATATCTCCAAAGAACATTGAATTTGATGGATTGAAGATCTAAATAGATGCACGCATGGAAGTCGCCATGTCACTGTGCCGCAGAAAGAAACTTAAAATTTTGTACATATTTCATCTACGTGAAAACAAATCATTTTAAACAATTACCTGAACATAGCTAACCCTACTGCTGTATTTTATCTATTATTTTAGAAGTACTAAGTCTAAAATATTTTATTAATTCCTTTTTAGACCAATAATAAATCGTCAATTTGCTGCCGATGTAAACAAACGGACATCACATCAGTTTGGACGTAACATAGACTTCTTTCATACACGACTTCTTCATACATGAAGACTTCTTTCTATATCTATCGTTTGGAGCACAGGAGCGGTGAAGTAGGGATCGGGGAAGTGCATTGAGTACACTATAACTCATTGTATAATATACTGCGATTATAATTACTGCTACAACCGCCTATAAATCAAAACGTATCAAATACATTCATGTGCGTGACAAGAGAATGTACAATGACAACAGTGTTGCGTACACAAACGTGAAACGCATGAAACGTCATGAAAAGTCTAGTAGTAGTATTATTATCTGTGACATGAAAAGCAATCCATTATTCGAATGAGTAATGCTTGTTAGGCCTAATAAGCATTGTCAATTAGTGAATTACGACGTGACCCTGATGATACTGATATGGAGGATTTTGAGTTTCCACAAATACCAGCCACAAACAATGCAGAAGTGGTAAGCTTCTCGTAGCTGTGACCGAGTTCTTGCCAGTGTTGTAATCGAGTCCGCACCCCCTGAGTCCGAGTCCGAGTCCGCACCCCCCGAGTCCGAGTCCGAGTCCGCGCCACCCGAGTCCGAGTCCGAGTCCGCGCCACCCGAGTCCGAGTCCGAGTCCGAGTCCACACCACCCGAGTCTGAGTCCGAATCCAGTTTTGATAAAAAAAAGGGGGGCACAGACCGACAAGGCCACTCACTTCTATGTATGTGTTTGTTCAAAAATGGGGGGTGCCTCCTGCCCCCTGGATCTGTCACTTGTTTGCATGAAATAGAAAGTACAGTAAAACTTGCATAAGTCGACACTTTTGGGATCAGCATATTTGTGTCGACTTAAGCTGTGGACACACTACGCGATTTTTCATGCGATCGAGCCGGCCGGCTTAGTCGGGCGACGCTGTGGACACACTACGCCACTGAGTCGGGCGACTCTGTGGATTTTCAGCACACTGATTGGCTGATGAATTGTACAATCGGCCGGCTCGATCACAGACCCGGGCACACCAGGCGATTGCAGCCAGCCGGCTCAAATAATTATCAAACATGTTTGAATCGGGCGACTCTGCCGGCCGACTCGAAAATCGACCGCGACTCACTGGACACACTACGCGATTTTTCATGCGATCGAGCCGGCCGGCTCGGTCGGCCGGCTCGATTGCATGAAAAATTGCCTAGTGTGTCCACCCCTTTAGGAAAATGACGACTTACGCGTAAGTCATCATTTTGTCGATTTATACAATGTATGTAATGCGCGCGTATACACTGTATTAGCTGCAGTGTTGTAGTCGAGTCCGCACCCCCCCGAGTCCGAGTCTGAGTCTGAGTCATTGCACTCTGAGGCCAAGACCGAGACCGAGACCAAGGAAAACGGTCTCGAGGCCGGTCTCGAGGCCAAGACCGGCCTCGAGACCTACAACACTGGTTCTTGCGTTCCTAAACTTATCTCTACTCGTGTATGCCTTTGCTCCTGCTACTGGCTACAGCCTATATAGCGATACAAAAATAATAACAGTGCTAGGGTAGAGCAGATGAATCTGCAGTGTTGTGGGCCAAGCTGTAGCTCATGATACTATCAAAAATTATGCTATCCGGCAAGGTAAAGGTCTGGAATTGAGCTGGCTACCCTAAAAGTAAAATCAAACAGCTCGCTGTAATTTGGCTAGATTTTGCTGTTTATCGAAGACAAACAAACCAAAATATCCAGCTTTGTCTTAATTGCATAGCAACAGTCTTAGTGCACTCTGCATCCCATCATGGTTCGTAAAGCCATGTAGGTGGAGCAGGGGCGTAAATCCCGAGGTGGATGGGGGGATGCATCCCCCCTGCTCTTAAAGGAGAGATGGCCTGTGATTCCCCCTGAGATTAAAAAAAAAACAGTAAAAAAAGAATAGCCAAAAAGTATGGTTGCAAACATACAAAAACACGTGAAATTGTGAGAAATTGCAATTCTTACCTGTGTTTTAATACATGTATTATTACTATAGTAACCTAACTGTGTACGCTCTCTGAAAAGTCATGAAAAGTGTTTTGAATCCTAACTTGTAGGGTTGAGTCTAGGGTTGAGATAGTGTCATCAGACATGAGAATATGGCCCACAGTATGCCTCAGATTGCAGGAAAATGGCTTAAATATTTCAACATTTTCTGAGGGGGGAGCATGCCCCCAGACCCCCCTAGCACTGCCATGCCTACGGCACGCGGGCCTGCCTGCGGCAGCCAAGGTTAATTTCGCCCCCGGCTATCGCCGATCATCCCCCCCACTCCTCGGTACGGATTTACGCCCCTGAGCTGGAGTAAAGGGCTGCATAGGTAGAGCTATTGTAAGCTATGCTATATTAAATTGACAATATTCTATTGGTAAATCGAAAAAGTCATCCAGTTTCGTGAAAGATGTATGATTTTACACAATGAGATCAGTTTCTTAGCGAGTGCAGTGTTAGATCAATAACCCGTGCCCTATAAATTTTTACGGTCTGGCGACATTATGTAGACCTTCCATGTAGATACATTTCCATTAGGCAGAATCGTCAATGTTTAATATGGAAATGGATTTGATGCTATAAAATATCATTAGCTTATAAATATTTATAGTGTACAGTTGGTTGCTCTAGCTCAAAATTGCTACATGATCAGTATAACTGGTACTATGGAACATCTGCTGGAATGCCCCCTATTACCAGAGCCCTGGAGACCTTGAGGGTTTCATCACCGTGACAGGTCCTGTGTGCTACAGTGGCTAGACTGAGTGTAGTGTAATGACCCGAGAAAAAGAAGACTGATACTAATTCAGGGTTTATTTTGCTTCAGTATTGGTCGTACGAGATGCGCAGGGACATGCAGGTGAGTAAGGTGTTTCTGGGTGACAGTGAACCATGAATTATAGAACTTTACCATACATTATTAGTATACTTAAAAATACATGTCTCCTAAAAATCTGCAACTATCAAGTACTAAAAGTAGACCTGTCTCAAAAGCTTTTATATTCTAGAACATATGTTCTGGAATATTCCATTGAAATCTAGATTTGTATTATCGAGTATAACCTTGTAGTTGTAGTAGACAGTAGAGCATCCAAATCCATAAAAATTGTATTTTTGAGGTTATAAGTTTTATAACTACCTTTTATTACTATATGTTATGATATATTCTAGATTGAAATAGGCTTAAAATCAGTATGCTATTAAATATATCTCTTTAACTTTTAATTGGTCAAATGGCACTCGCTACATCCATATTGCTATTAGTTTGACTTACTTATCACGTACAAACTGCAAAATTTGTTCCTACATCGAACTAGTCCAGTTCAACCCCAGGCCAGATGTGCACGGGATTGCAGCGTACAGACGCAAAATACCTAATCGGGCTAAGTTAGCACGTGTAGACTGCATTTGCTTGCTCAGGTGCAACTTGCGTGGTTATAAAGTGCCAACAGGGACAGCCATGCATAATTGTTGGGTATCCACATCAAATCCACGTGGGGTAATACAGTACTTAGATCTGTGCCATGTAGAGGCTGTCCAGGCCTCCTCTTCACGCATGTCCATGCATAATTGTTCTATGTTTGCATCTTGGCAGGAGGTGATACCTGGGCTGTACCTGGGTCCCTACTCAGCTGCCATGCATGATTGTTCTATGTTTGCATCTTGGCAGGAGGTGATACCTGGGCTGTACCTGGGTCCCTACTCAGCTGCCATGAAGAGTAAAAAGGAGAAGCTCCTTCAACACGCCATTACGCACATCGTGTGCATACGACAAAACATCGAAGCACATTTCGTCAAGCCAAACTTCACCGATTCCTTCAAGTACGTGCTGCGCATGAATCTTTGCTTCGGATGATGCTTTAAGGGGGGCTTATGTCGGGCTTGCGAGCCGACTCGACTGGAAGCAACTGGATTTCGAGCAACTGGAAGAGATCGGCAGCGACTAGTTGCGTCCAGTTGCCCACTGTTCTATTCCGAGCAACTAGTGGCGGCCAGTCGCAGGCAGTCGCGTCGCAGTCGACCGACCTAAGCACTGCAGTCGCAGTGAATTGCAGCCAGTTGCTTCCTGCTTCCAGTCGAGTCGGCTCGCAAGCCCGACATAAGCCCGCCTTTAGAGACGTACATGTGCTTTACTCGGGCAGCGTGTGTTTGTGTCGTGTGTTCACTTGTAAAATGAGTGGCATTGTGTGTATCTTTATGGAATCATGGTTATATACACTACAGGATGCTTTCATACAGTGTGACAGTGAATACGTTCTGCTGTTGAAATAGATATATATGTATAAGCTTACCTATCGGTTTCCTAAACCAAAAAAAATGTTTTTTAGAGTGACCTACCACACTGAAATATATTTAACTGTCAGATATGTTTCCCACAGGTACCTTGTGGTAGATATTGCAGATTCGCCGACTGACAACATAATTCAGCACTTTCCTAAGGTGAGTGATAATTTATGCTGGTAGCAGATGATCATGAGCATCCTCATTAGTTTGGTAATTAGCTTCAGTTCAAAGTGCTTTCAATATCAATGAGAGCTGATTATGTGTGAAGATGAATTTACCGGGATTAAAGAAACTGGACATTTTTGATTTCAGAATTTGAGATTATGATTTGACATGTTTTCATTTTCAGGTGAAGCAGTTTGTCGATGAGTGCTTAGATAACGATGGTAAGATTTGTATAATGATAACAATTTGTTACATTTTGGAAAGTCTCTAACATGTAGAAGCTACGTTGATATCCATCGTCTAGTATCAATGCTAATGGATCACCAGGTTAAATATGTGAACATAATGCAAATGTAGTATGTAATGTTATGTGTGGTTTTATTCCATAATTTTAACCATCAACACTAATTTTGTACCATTCTCAGGTAAAGCTCTGATTCATGGAAACGCAGGTATTTCACGAAGGTACGTTTTAAATTACGTGAAAATCAATTTATCCTCAAAGTTATTATTTTAAAAAATTGTTGTTATTATGTGAAGAATGTCAACATTTTTTCAACTTTATTTTCACTTGCTAGTGCTCTAGTTTGTATAGTAATAGCATGGTTTGTACATTTGTGCCCTGCAGCGCAGCTTTGGTCATAGCATACATAATGGAGCGTTTTGGACTGACATACAAGTAGGTTTCTCTCAAATCGATAATAGTTTCTTGATAAAGCAATGAAGGATTGTACTAAAAATTGCATTAATATTGAGTTGAATTGAAAAACTATGGAAAGTTTGCAGACTTAATTGGAAAATGCAAAATGTATTGTTGCCATTCGGCCCAATACCCTAAATTAGACGCGATCGGCATAAAATATAATAATAGGAATTTCATAGAAGGTACATTATAATTATTAGCATCCTTTTGGGAAGTTGGTGTAGGGTTAGATATTATAGGACTGCCGTGCAGTGTACCAGATTTACCCATGGTTAACTGACATAGAATCGACATATATTATGATACTAGCATGTGAAAAAAAAAACAAGTGAAACTTGCAATTAACCAACTCATTGTTGCAGAGATGCACTGCAGTATGTGCAATCCAAGAGGTTCTGCATTAATCCAAACGATGGATTTGCTAAGCAGTTACAGGTGAATTCATTTCTTAAACTTACTATGAGCAAAGTATGTTAATTATTTCAGATTTCAATGTTAATTAATAGGGTTCACAAATGTAATGTTATCCTTTACCCTCGTTAGTGCAGATATAATTAGAAAATTGAAATTAAAAATATTAAAATATATTATATTTTATTGTTAAATTTATTAAAGGTGCTCGGGTTAGCATGTGGTCGTTAAAAAATCACTAGTATTACAGGGATGAATACGCCTTAATTTTCTGGTGTCACAGTATTGAAGCAAGCTTGTCATTTGTGTAGTACTTTGTTTAGTACTTTTTGCTGTGTTATTTTTCCCCAAGTAATAATTACACCTATTTTGCTGTTTAGGAATATGAGCCTATATATAGGGCTAAGCTCACTGTAGTGAATGGACAGCCTTCCAAGCGAAAAGGTGTGCATAGTATGGTTAATTTAGTATATAGGTTCATACTCAAGGTACATTTTTGTAAGTAGAAGATAACCAAATTGTTTTAAACAGAAGAGGAATTTAACCGATTAAACATGATTAAATCTGGTTAAACATTTGCTGAAATGTTGGTCACACGCGATGCCTGACAAGGGTTTGTGTTGTGTATTAGTATGCTGCATTATAGCTGGTACCATGCAGACCTTTGTTCAACATCCCGTTACTGCCAACTCATGTTATCCGTTGTAATCGCAGGTAATTTGAAACGAACGAGAGACGAGGTGGACGACGAGGAGCAGGAAATGCACGTCGAGAATTCCTAGCGACGGCTGGTGCGCAAGTGACAGTCACTATAACAGCTCACCGTACACGTGTATGCTCACCACAACATGTTGGATTAATTCATTCACGCGTTCAGCTTCATACGTTACAATTTCCACGTTATTATGATTTTCTAATGTTGTCATTCACATAAATAACTATAGAATTGTTGAGGGAGGGATGAAGGGGTTAGGAGTAGTGTTTTCCATCCAGGCTCTTTTTGCTCTCAATTTAATTATTATTTTTAATGTGTAGCCATCATAAGAAATGATAGACGGTAGTTATGCTGTTGCGATCAAATTTTCATGCCGTTGTATCTCGACGTCTGATAGCTTATTCAAGTGTTGGGATCACAGTTTTTGTTCTGTTAGAACCACTAAGAATGAAATCACAGACAACACAGTAAGTATTTCTTTCCTTGAAATCCATTGTGTGCATTCCATCTCACACAAACAGATCGTGTTTTTAATGCTAGACAGACAGGTCTGACGTGGCTGTGCTGCACTATAAGATGGCACTCTATAAATGGAAGACAACATACTATGTAAATGAAAAGCACCAAAGCCATATTGATTGTGGAAATGGGAGAATTTTTTTGCCAAAATTGTACATACTTCTCATTTGGTAAATTGTTGGTTACGTAATATTTTCATCATCATTGATCATCATCATCATCATAGACCCTGTTTGGTGTGAGCAGGGATATATTAAACTCACAGGTTAATCTTGCATGTGGTTAAAAACACATAAAAACTATGCGAAAACAAAACCAAAAATTAAGCTAGCACAATTTAACTTGAATCTCCTGCAATACCTCAACTGCTTACCTGTAAGGGGAGATTATTTTAAACATTGGTCAGTATTGTTCGGTACCAGAAACCCACAACCATAGATATTAGATCGTACGCTGCCAGAGTACCTTCGGGCAATAAAACTAGTGATGAGCTGTGTATAGTACTGTAATTCCAAGTACAGCAGTACTGTAATTCCAATCTCACTATTAACTTGACCAATCTGTTCAGCCATATTGGAAATGCACAGTGTACAGAACTTGGTTCTAAGGTTAGAAACATGATAACATATGCAGTATGCGTAATATATAGATCTAGCATCTATGCAAGCATGTCTCGCACAGAATAAAGACCATTAAAAACGTTTGGCATTACCCTGAAAAAAATCCCAGTCTTTGGAAAATGGTTTATCTATGTTTGCTACCACAAGTTATGAGCTTTATGCAGTAGTTATGTCCAGATGTATGGACAAAACCAAAGCAAACCCATGAAATCAAGATGCACATAATTTTAATATGATTCTGCATTAAGCATGTAAGCAGGTAACGTTTAGTTTTTGAGGTTAATTGAGTTCCTTCAGTCATTTTTATACACTGTTATTGATTGTTAATGTAGCTCGTAGGGTCTATGTCCCCCAGGGTACTGCCGGAACGTACCCTGGTAACTATCTGATATGGTTAGGGTTAGGGAGTAGGCGTAGGCGACTCGATCCCTAGACTCGTTAGTGGAGTTAGCCGAGGTACGGTCCGGCATATTAGATAGTACCAGGGTACGTTCCGGCAGTACCACGGGTGACATATATAGACCCTCTCAGCATTAATGTATATCATGTGTATAACATGTGTATGAGGTAGTTAAATTACACATGTGTCCTGTTACACTGCTACACATTTGAAGTTTGCTAGTTATTATTGTAATTAATTAGGGTTATACTGACAGTGATTCACATAATAAAATAGTCCTGGAGTAAAATGCTCGTTATTGCTATGGGATGAAGTATAATTATAAAATATGTCCAGTTTTCAAACATGCCAATTCACTAGTCACCGTATTCGTTCCCTAATTAGCATATAATTACTTCTTCAATAACACAAGGAGTACAAAACTTTTAAATGGTATGATGGTATCAATTTTAAGACTCGTATGATGCTATTGTTAACAGGTTTTGAAGTTGAAGACACTAGTGTAATGCAAAAAAGACTGATAAATAACATACGAAAACAACGAAAATGTTTGGAAAGCTAAATGTAGTTTTATAGTGTATAATGATATTATGCAATATCATGTTTATGCAATTGCACATTTGAAGCCGGTAATAAGAACGTACTCAGTACAGCAATGAACATGACTGGAGCATGCAAAGTGAAGGTCACTTGCCTTTACTAAAACCTATGTGTACAAAAATAAATATCTATCTACACATCTTTCCCAGATTACACAGAACTTCGTCCAACTTTTCATTATAGGTACACTTATAGGCTAACGTGTTAGCAGATTGCCCAAAATATATCTGCGTACCTACTCTAAAGAGATTCATGCTTTTAACTTAAACACGCTGTTTTCAGATTGCTGCAGATTCCTACAGCAAACGAAATTGCAACCAAAAAATAACAAAGAATTAACAATTAAAGGTGAACCCCTTTGGAGCAATAATATTGCGCAAGTTAATATAAAAGCAGTTCCTAATGAACACCTGTACCAACAACACAATTATCAATCACGAGCATTATGAAAGGCATAAAGGGCTCTATAATAAATAACCCATGATTAAAACAAAAGGGCAAATTAGTAATGAATTCCTTTGATTCATATTAAAAACTACATGATTAAAACCCTAATACAAAGTTCCGCTAAAATAGCAGAAATGTGCAATGAATTGTTAAATTTGATCACTAGTGATATAGAGAACCAAGGAATGTGCTCGCATTGCGATGAAGATTTTGCTTTAAAAAACCAATTCCAATTCCTTGTTTCTAGCTAGACATACCATCTGGAAAAGTGAACCCTGATAAATACAATTATATACACAATCTATTCGTGATCACGTAACAACAGTGTTTTCTTATGGTCACTTTCTTGTGTCTTAATGCAAAATATATATCATCAACCAAAAATATATAATTTCCATGCGTCAAAATCCCTTGCACCGTAAACCCCACACAATTTCATTCACACACATTCGCAAGTCAATACCTTATTTACAGAGCACCTAGTTCGTGTATACAGAGAAGCTACGCAAATATTTAACAGTAAATTATTGCACGCAGCCATGTGCAATACTGATTATGATAGTGATAAAGCAACCACATAGCTATAGGCCCATACCGTTGAATGTGATCGATCTGGTGTTTTGTGGCCGTAAAACTCCGCATTATCGTGACTCAGTTTTGAGGAACACTGTTTATAAAATTATTTACAAGTGTATATATTTGTTGTTTCATGCCTCTAAAATATCAGTAAAATATTCATAATTATGTAAAATACAACCACCTCATAAAACCTTAGTAGTAAACAAAGCTGAGATTTCGTTGGGGGGGGGGGAGGCTCTAATAGCAAAAGCAGTTCAGTCCTTTGTTAACAGTCAACAAATCCATGTTTAACCCTCCTCTTGAGGGTCACAAGGTTATCAGACACTTACTCTTCGCACGTCAGCGGAAAGTAGATTTCATGTTCCTTTCAATAAAGTAATAAAAACGGTAGGTCAGCGCTGAAACAAAAAAGTTTTGCATTCGGTCCATTAGACCATGTCCTCAGAAAATGCCTGATATCTGACCTTTCCCCCTTTGACCTCCAATTTCGCGCTGGTGATGGGTTTCCTCCCCATCACACTATACATCGAATATTAAGAGCGTAGGTCGAGCCGTTGAGATTTGTGCCGCAATGCCGTATTTCCTCCTATACCTTGAGTTAAGGGGGAAATATTCCTCCTCCATTGACACATCTTGACCTTTGATCCTTGACCCCCAAATTCAACATCCCGAGTCCTTTTCGCGATCCCCCCCGACGTCCTGAATATCAAGACCGTACGTCGAGCGGTAAAGATTTGTGCCCAACTGTTAACGGACGCACGGACGGACGCACGGACGGACGGACAATCATGCGATTCTACAAGCTGCATCTGACTTCGTCATCTGAGCTAATAATTCAGAATCTTCTGTAACCTGGCACACTATAGTCAGGTCCCAGGGGGTCAGGCAGGTACGAGGAGTCCAACCAGAACATAAACGTAATGAGATAAATTGTCGAAATCTCTGCAACTAGCATAAATCTACCCAGTCGAACCGTTCAATACCTCTAGTATTCCAAGCTATACTAACCCGTAGTAGAAACCTAATAGGTTGACGTGTCTAAATTCCCCTCAACTGTAGCACAAACCTAAGCAGTTGAACCGTCCAATATCTCTACAACTGTAGTATATACATAACAGCTTGTAGTATAAACTGTCTAAACAAATCTCTAACTGTTTCCTGAACCTAACCAGTTGAACCATTGAGTATAGATTGAAATGTCTAGAATCTCTTTAACTGTAGCATAAAGCTAACCAGTTGAACCCTACAATACCTCTGCAACTATATTATAAACTTAACAGTTGGACGGTCAGAATTTTTTTTCAGAAACCAGCTGATTATTAACGGTTTAAAACATCTTCATAATTGTAGTATGAAACTACCAAGTCGAATGATCGAGCATCTCTTCAACTATAGCATTAACCAAGTCAGGTTAGCAGTCAAAACAATGGTCGGATAACTTTTCAGCTAGTCCTATGCCACGTCATCACAAACACGCCCTTCAGGAAGAATGGTAAATCTACCAACATAAGCCCGACAGGTTAGCGCGCAACCATCATGGCCAAACGTCTTCACCCAGTCCCATGTTTCGGCATCTCAAACACGCGCTTCAGGAAGAATAGGTGAATCTACCAACGCTGGGTTAACGGAAGGCCGAAGTCTTCAGCCGGTCCTATGTTGTTTCAAACATGGCCTTCTAGAAGAACGGGTCAACACGCGACGGATCGCACCGAACGTCTTTATCCGGTCCCATGTTTCGGCATCTCGAACACACCCTTCAGGAAGAATAGGTAAATCTACCAATGTCGGGTTAACGCAAGGCCGACGTCTTCAGCCAGTCCCGTACTTCGTCATCTTGAACACACCCTACAGGAGGAATGGGTGAATCTACAAACGGGTTAATGCGTGATCATCATGGCTAGACGTCTTCATCCGAAGCGAATAGAAGAACGGGTAAATCTACCAACGTTGGGTTAACGGACGACTGAACGCCTTCAGCCGGTCCCGTGCTTCGTTGTTTCAAACACGCCCTTCTTAAAGAAGGAAGAGAATTCCCACAGCGAGTGCTTGACGACGCGACCATCGGCCACGTTGAGCGGACACCCCGGCGCGGCGCCGCACACCTCCACCAGGCGGCGCAGGTACCCCTCGAGCTGCTCCCGCCGCTGCGCGACCACCCACTCCGAGCGATTGCGGAACCAGCGCTTCGGCGGGAACGGGATCCCCGCCGTCACCGAGTACGCGGCCACCATGCGCTGCCGCAGCTCTCGGAACCGGCTGTAGCGCCGGTAGACGACCCAGCTCTCGCCCCGCAGCGCCACCTGTACCTCGTACTCGTAATGAGCATCCGCGCCGTGTCCGCGCAGCACGAACGCGGGCACGGCGACCCGCAGCGGGAGGTCGTTGCCGCCGGCGACGACGTCCGCCGACGGTCGCCGGAGACTCGTCAGCGAGTCGCTGTTGTGGATTGTCGCGTACGGGTTTGCCTTTGTCGGGAGCGCGGTGCCGGCGGTGCGCGACACCAGCTGCTGCTTGAGCCGCTGTATCTCGATCTCGTGCGCACGCTTCAGCCGCGACATCTCCTGCTCGCGAGTGCGTCGCTCGCGCTCCCGCGATCGCTTGAGCGCCTTCGCTCGCCGCACCGTCTCGTCAAAGCAGCGTCGCTTCACCTCGGCCTCGACGAGTGCGTTGATCCTGCGCGAGAAGCACAAGAGCGTCAGACGATGAGGAGACAGTAAGGAGATAGGTAGCGTGAGAGACACGAGCATCAGATGAGGAGACAGTTAGCGTGAGAAACACAAGAGCATCAGATGAGGGGACAGTTAGCGTGAGAAACA